CACTAGGACGCTCCTAGCAAACTGCTCCGCTGTTGAGTCTGTGTGCTTAGTGTGGCCTTCTCCAGACACCTGCTTATACCCTGATTCTTGTCTTTGCCCACAGACTGCCTCCCGTGTGAGCATCTTATTGAGCATGGCACCTGGGCCCACAGCCTATTCCCTAAACCCTTTTTCTCTGGCATTCACTAACTACCTTCTACTATGTCTTGTAATTTGCTTGATGTTTGTTGTTGTTTTCTGTGTCCTCTGCTAGACTATAGTTACTGGAGGCAGAGGTCTTGGTTTCATTCACTGGAATATCTTCAGGGTCTGGAATACTGTCTGACACATGGAGGCTCTTAGCAGATGAATACAAGGATGTAACGACTAGTAGAAAATAGAATTAAGACAGAAGTTTGTATGGTGTGGAAAAAAATTGAAACCATGTGTACAAGGGATCTTTAAACAATTAAAATATTTCTCTAAAAAAGTGCATGGTTTCTAGTTTTTGTACCGAAATAAATTTTTAATTGCATTTTCTACACTCTTTGAGGTATGTTGAATAGATGGAAAAGTGCATGATGCTTGATCAATAACTAGCTCCATATGCCACCTCAGGCATCACTGAGCATTTCCCAGATAATGGGAGCTTGAAGGACACTGTCAAGGACACAAAGCTCCCTGGGTCCGAGTGCTGCTGTAATCCTGCCTGTGGTCTGAGCACACTGGTGCCAGCTGTGCCGCGTGGCCATCGGGGAACTCTGCTGCTCCATACTACCCATCTCAGCCTCTGGAGCTCTCCCCCAGGTTTCACCTTGTCTTTTGCTGTGTGCTTCTGTCCCTGTCTCAGCCTGCTGGATGTTATTCTCGAAGGCTCGTCAGGGCTCAGCCTTTAACATGGCGCCCGTGGTAGGCGTGTTATCTTCTGCCCCAAGTTTTAACTTGAGACCTTCAGAGCTCTTTAGAAATGAGTTAGACCTGCTCATTTTCTGCTTCCAAAGACCAAGACACCCAGCAAGTCAGGCGGTGTTCTAAATTCCCAGAAGTTGCTAGGAAAAGTTCTGGAACTATTTTTGTTTGTTGGTTTTGGTAAACACACCACATTGTAGCAAGAATGAGACCCTTGCGTCCTTGGCCCTCTGCTCTGTGCAAGGCACTGCTTCCTTCCCATGTCCTACTGCCACATGTGCGGTAGGGAAGACCTGCACTCCCGCACATCTTCCTTCCACAGGTAGAGCCCTTCTCTGGCTTCCCACCCTAACTTCTCACCCACCAGTGCCAGTAGGATCTCTGAAGCCCCCCGTGGTGTGACAGTGCCTTCATCCTTATCCCCAGCTCGGGACTAGAAAAGGGACCGTGAGTGTCAGGCACTGCCTAGCTACTCACAAGGATGCAGCCTCTGTGGTCCCAGTCAGAGCAGCAACTATGAGCAGTTCTTCCTGCTTCTTGGTTCCTTTCTGTGGCCTCTCCAGTCCAGGTCTCATATGAGTAGAGGGGGAGGAGGAGGGAAGAAACACTATTCTACATCTACCTAGTATTTGGATTTTTAATTGAATCATCTCCTTTGACCTTAATGGCAACCATCTGTGTTCAGGGGAACAAGCAAGCATTCTTATTTTCCCCCTGACCAAGAAGTGAAATATAGCTACATGGAAGAAATGATGTACTAGGTGTTACAGCTTCCCGCTGGCAAGACTGCATGCCCAGGATCCCATATGGGCGCCGGTTCTATCCCTGGCAGCCCCGCTTCCCTTCCAGCTCCCTGCCTGTGGCCCGGGAAAGCAGTTGAAGACGGCCCAAAGCTTTGGGACCCTGCACCCGCGTGGGAGACCCGGAAGAGGCTCCTGGCTTTGGATTGGCATAGCATCGGCCGTTGCGCTCACTTGGGGAGTGAATCATTGGACGGAAGATCTTCCTCTCTGTCTCTCCTCTCTGTATATCTGCCTTTCCAATAAAAAAAAATAATAAAAACAAATCTTTAAAAAAAAAAAGAAACTTACAAAATGAAGTACCTTTATAAAGGTACTGGGAAAGCCATGGAGGATGTTCAGAACCCATGTGGGAGAGTTTAAAAAGGCTTCTGGTTTCACATAGACTAGATTGAGCAGTTGTAGCCGTTTGGGGAGAGAACCAGCAGTTGGAAGATCTCTCTCTCTTTCTTCCTTGTAAATATGCCTTTCAAGAAAAATCATGAAAATGCGAAAGCTTATAAATCGATCAGTATCATGGCTGGTTTCATAAGCTATCACCTATGATGCCAACATCATTAATGAGTGCCAGTTTGTGTCCTGGGTGCTGTATTTCCTATCCAGCGCTTTGCCAATTGCCTGGAAAAGGCAACAGAAGATTGTCCTAGTATTTGGGCCCTGGCCAACCACGTGAGAGATCCAGAAGAACCTCCTGTCTCCTGGCTTTGGCCTAGCCCACTACCAGCCATTGCAGCCATCTGGAAAATGACCCAATCATGACAAACTCTCACTCTCACTCTCTCGTTCTCTCTCTCCCTCTCTCTTCCTCCCTCCCTCTCTCTGTGTAACTCTAGCTTTCAAAATAAATGAATAAACCTTAAAAAAAAACTATGTAGACAATGCAATCAAAAGATGTTTATCTTCATGCAAAAAATCTTGCAATCTACCCTTTTTTTCATATATGCATTTTCCATGATCTTTTTGAAAACTTATTGCTTGATACTGTATTTTAAAGATTTTTTATTATTATTTATTTATTTTTTTATTGGAAAGGCGAATATACAGAGAGGAGAGACAGAGAGGAAGATCTTCCGTCCAATGATTCACTCCCCAAGTGAGCGCAACGGCCGATGCTATGCCGATCCGAAGCCAGGAGCCTCTTCTGGGTCTCCCACGCGGGTGCAGGGTCCCAAAGCCTTGGGCCGTCCTCGACTGCTTTCCCGGGCCACAGGCAGGGAGCTGGAAGGGAAGCGGGGCTGCCGGGGATAGAACCGGCGCCCATATGGGATCCTGGGCATGCAAGGCGAGGACCTTAACCACTTGCGCCACCGCGCCAGGCCCTGATACTGTGTTTTAAACGAAAAGATTTTTCCTTGAAACATAACTGATAGTAATAGAAAGTGATTTGGTATTTCCAATCCCATATCTGTTTTGATCTCTGCATAGCAAAGATTGAAATGAAATGCAATCAGTAAATTTTACTTAATTGTATTCATATTTATATGTTACTTCACTTCCAAGCAGAGGATTTTAAAGGACACTTTGATGCATATACTCATGAGGAAACTGCACTGCAGTTGTAGTTTCGCAAGTAAAATAGGTAAGAGACACTGCCCTGACAGCTGGCGTCAGAGCTTGCTGGGAGCGCTCTACAGCAGGACAAGGGAGCCTGTATACCAAGTAGCTGATATGTGGTATTCTGTAGTAATACAACTTCATTCTCATGGCCGTTTATCCTGTCATAGGCACAGGACTACACATGATTGTGTGTAACATTCCTAGAAGATGTGAAAAATGTGTCAAATGTTGCGAGCTGTCAGCATGATGTAAGACTGAACTCAAGAGGTAAAGTCGGTAGTCGATCAATAGATGCAGAAGCCCTGTGATGCACATTACGTTTATCCAAGTTGATTTGTTTGCAAAGTGATAATATCCAAAATCTAGATTTACTCTGGATGATGTCTCTCCCATTCATTGTAGGTCAGCTTAGGGTTCACGTTGCTAAGTGACACACTGCCTGGAGCATGCCCTCTCGCCGAAACAACTCTTAGTTTGATCTAGTACCAAAGAAAAACGTGAGACTCCCCATGGACTAGGGTCTGCTGTTCGAGTTAAGTACAGGATGAGAGAATTGTGGGCGCATCACAGGGTGTAGTTTCTACTTAGCTTGAACAATAGCATTGCCATCAGAATCTCGCCTCACCAGTTAATCCCTATCTTTAATGTACAAATGAAAATCTTATGAGAATATGTTCAATACATTCTTAGGATATGTAAAGGATGCTAAATAGGAAGCCGACAGCAGTTATTTTTACCTGTTGTGTGCAATGCTGTGTGCAGTATCTACCGTGAAGCCACTCATGTCTGTACCAACGGTGACTGGGGAAGTCGTATTGTTCTTTTCTTCTCCATTAAGAGCCTTGTCAGAGGAGTTTTTTCTAAATATGTTAACGCAGAGATTTTTTTCTGGTTAGGAAGAAAAGAGAGAGCATCAAGTGAAGATGAGGATAAAAGTGTGCAATCTTTGTCAATATAAAAAGAAGCATGAGTGTCTCATCTAGATTGGTACATCTGATGGCTTGCATCTTTTTATTATTAATAGTAGTATTTATTTCTGTTGGAAAGGCAGACTTACAGAGAGAAGGAGAGACAGAGAGATCTTCCATCTGTTGATTCACTCCCCAGGTAGCCTCAACATCTGGAGCTGAACTGATGTGGAACCAGGAGCTTCTCTGGGTCTCTTACACTGGTGCAGGGTCCCAAGGCTGTATGGACCATCCTCTACTGCTTTCCCAAGCCACAAGTAGGGAAATGGAGAAGCTGGGACGTGAACAGGCACCCATATGGGATCCTAGCACATGCGAATCAAGGATCTAGCCACTGAGCTATTGCACCAGGCCGGTTTGCATTCTTTATCATTTTTCCTATTTATTGAGAAATTTACAAGAACATGACCAGCTTTATATGCTTATAGGAGATACCAAAATTGCTACAATTGTGTTTGTTTACTTTGTAGAACTATTTATTATATGATCAACTGGGAAATTTGGAGTAAGTGCATTAAAATGGGGGAAAAAAGCTAAAGGAACCTAAGGATTTAGCCTTGCAATTCTGAAAATCATTTTCCGAGTATCTGATAAAGCAAATTGATCTTAAAGGACATATTCATCAATAGCCTCAGAATGCTCTCAGGTGTCTGATGGAGGGTACAAATAGCTTTTCATGCAACTAAGGAGTCCTTTTTCAGAAGATAGCAAAAAATTAGGAATCCCTTTGTCTGATTAACTCTTTGTGTTAGCTTCTACATTTCTGTTTCTGTCTCTTTTCTCATAGGTATGAGAAAGTACCCGTCATCTTGGTTGGGAACAAAGTAGACCTGGAAAGTGAGAGAGAAGTATCATCCAATGAAGGCAGAGCCCTGGCCGAAGAATGGGGCTGCCCCTTTATGGAGACTTCCGCTAAGAGTAAAACAATGGTGGATGAACTGTTTGCAGAAATCGTGAGACAGATGAACTACGCTGCTCAGCCCGACAAAGACGATCCGTGCTGTTCTGCTTGTAACATACAGTAGCACCCGAGGCCGGCTGTGTCCCAGCGATAGCAAGCTCATCTACTCCACTGCAGTCTGCAGGATGGGTGTTGTGAATCCACAGCGCACAGCCGCCGGATTCACAAGTGAGCAGTGGTTTTCAGTTGAAACCTCTGCGTAACATTTGGGTCCAGAAACCAGTTGTCACCATTGTCTTCAGTCTCCTTCTGCGTCTGCAACTTGAAGGCATGGCCTGGTCCATCTACCGGGTGACCTCATTGGAAAGCCATGGTGGGATTGTCGCTGAGTTGACAGAAGCAGCTAATGGATCGATTAGAAGCAATCTTGAGGGAGAAACCAGAAGAATCCCTATGATCACATACAATTAAAATATTTTGTCTTCTTTAAAAAAGAATAAAGATAAGTAAAGGAGAAATATTTTCCTATGAGAGTACTGGTTTTCAGGACTTGGTATAGAGCTTCTAACCAATGTATTGCATCTAGTAAGAGAGCAACAGCTGACCTGCCTGCCGCCTTGCAGGGGGCGCATCTGCTCTGCTGATGAGGGTCTGGTTTCGATGTTCCAAATCAATGCTTAGTTGTAAATGCTATCCTGATCCGTGACTCAGAACTAATCCACACACCAAGCCTCAATCAAACAACAGTGCAGGTTGCATAAAAATACAACCTCTTAAGTCACCTGCTTTGCCACAGAAAATGGAGGCTTTTTACAAGGGTTGGATCAGAATTAAAACTCAAACCACCCTCTGTTAATCCAAGCAGGGATGGTGATTCTTCCTTTATTCAGCAAGAGGAAGCAACTGTAACAGAAGATTGCCTAGCCTTACTAATCCGAAGCATCTAGTCGATAACTAGCACCATCATGTAAGGGGAATGAAGCCATGTTGCATCCACATGTTCCCGTGTGCAGACACCTCATAGGACAGCACAGACACCTGGCATTTTGACATTCATTGAAGCAGCAAATTCCTCCTTGCCTTTAAGGGCTGTGGTTGTAGCGTGACCCTGGGCTAACAGGCTGTGAAAATCCAATTTGCTGTAGCAGAGCTTTCTAACAGGCATTAAAACAAAATGGAATAGCCAAGTGAACTAATTTGGGCTTAAAAGTAGAATTAAAATTACAGAGTGAAAAGTAAGGGACAAAAAGCCTTTATCCTGAATTTTCTTGGAGATTTACATAAAAGTTTTCTTATGCCAGTTTTGCTCTGATTACTGAAGTGGCAAAACTGGAGTGAATATTTTGTTTTGAAAAGGTGCTCAAGCTCTGATACTTTCGGTTTTCATAGCCTCCAAGTATTTATCATTTGCATGACTAATGGCACAGGAACAACCTGTTGGTAAGTTTTACAATCAAGCATAGAAGGGTTTGCAGCAAACTTGAGAACCATAAGCACTGACACAATTACCTTGAGCTGGGCCGCTGGAGGTGAACTTGACCTCCAGAGCTGAATGTCACTGAGCTGCCATCTGCAGACCACCCCAAACTTTCTTGGTTCCCAGTCTTGTGCAAGTAACCTCTTACCTTACATGTGCAACTGAGAGAAGAGTGTGTGTTCGTGTGTGCATGTGTTTATTGTTCCTAAGAATTTGGCACAAGTTGGAAATGATTGCCTATACTGAGAATCTGTACTCCAGAATGTAGTGCATCAAAAACATTTTTTCCTTTTAAATTATTTGGGTGTCTTTTATACATGATTGAAATCATTAATATCCCCCCAAAGTGTTAATAGCTGGCATTAAGGTTAGAGGATAGTATTTTTCATAGTTGAGAAATCTGAAGTATTGAAAGCCAGACCATGCTGATTGAGGATGTTTGCATTGTGAATATTTACATGCTATCGTATAATTTTTCATAATTCTCATTCATGAAGCTCCTTGTTTAGAGGACAGAATGTTTTTACCAGCTTTATTAAAAATAAATTTGACTATATGAAAATTGACTCAAAAAGGTAGGAAAGTCAGATTCAAGAAATACAGTTTATTGAAATAGAAATATCTTTTAGTGATTAGATAGGGCTTTGAAGCTTCTGACTTCCCAAAATGATTTTGAGTTTTTGGTTGTTTGTTTTTTTTTTTTTTATATAATTCTGTAGTAGCAACATATGACAACTAAGATCGCATAATAAAGCAGATACGAAAAATCTGCAGTTTTACTTTTACATTTTAATTTCTATGCAGATGTGAAAAATAGCTTAAATAATGTGAAGGATATGGCAAAGTGTAAGCTGGAAAAGATGATCTCAGACGTCGGTGTTTAGTTAGCAGGTTTATCAAACCAAGGTGGCTTTTACTGTCCAGATGTCAATAGTAACTGATCCGGCTGCCTGATCAGTGTTTCCACATAGCCCCACACATTGAGTGACAAGACGACAAAGATTCCCAAACACTGGACATGCTCCTGTGCCCTTATTATTGATACTCATTGGGGACGAACATAACTCAGTTTGAATGAATGTGTTTGTTGAGGTGGTAATAAAAAGCTTAACAATAGGAAGATTGCATTTTTGGCACAAGAAATACTAGTGGCTATAGAGGAAAGTTGGTGACCTTTGGTCACAGTTGATTCTGTGCCCTGATCAGACTAGCAACTAGATAAGTGAGTTTGAATTTCTAACATGCCTTAAAAATTATGGTTTGATCCAAAGACCCACTTTTTCTTTAGCCATTGTAGTAAGGTTTTCTTTTGTTTATTTTTATACAAGAGCAGCATTTTTCTAAGTTTTTTTTTTTTTATGTTGCAACTTTAGTTTTTTTTTTCAGCTGTGATAGTGGTGGTAACCTACCTTTCTTTTTGAACTTAAAGAAAACCAGCCTGCCTGTGATCAAAAGTATTACATAAGATCTTTTCTTAAACTGTCAGAAGGTGCTTTGATGATTTTTCCCCTTTGGTTTGTAGAGTTAGAACTGAACTTTTGACTCTGATCTCTACAATTGCCATCACATTTCTGTGTTTGAAACTACTGATACTGCTTGTCTAGATGCAGAAACGTTGCCTGAGGACGTCTGGGCTTTGCTTTCAAGGGTTTTACAGTTTGAATGTTCTCAGTGTCCGCAAGGCTCTAAGTGTTTTGTGTTTTACTGTTGAATTTTTTATTTGTCTTGTATTTCAGTTTTTTGTCCTCAGTGGTCTTGTGTTGGCACTGGTTAAGCTTACTTGTCTTCTTAGCCAAACAAATGTCAAAGACTATGGGGGTCTCCTTTTGGTTTGTTTGTTTCTTAACATGTCTTTGTGCATCTGTTAAATCTTGATCAGGGTTTCGAGAATGATTGCAGTGGGTTTTGGAAACAAACTTACCATTATTAATTTGGGGTTTCCCAGAGATAGAGTTCACAGTTAACTGTTGAGCTCTAATACAACTGACCATTTCAAATTGAACAACAGCTTATTGTTTTGTAACAATGTCAGTTGCTAAATCTTGACATTTCAATTAAAATATGAATTGTAGTTATAACTCAAGGCAAATTCAACAGTTGTGTTTGGAGTTAAATTATTTTAACAAATAAATTTATTTAATGAAACTCTGGATTTTGGTCTTGTTTTCATTTATGTATACTCAGAAGAGAAATGTGTTAAATGCTTTTGTAATTACTGGGGCTGCCGTCCCAGAATGCCCAAGTTTAAATCCCATCCTCAACTCCTTATTTCAGCTTCCTGCTACTGGATGCTTTTGGAGACAGCAAATACTTGGGCTCCTACCACTCATGGGCGAGGCCTCAGTTGAGTTCATGGCTCCTGACTTGGGCCTGGCCCAACCCAACCTCAGCTATTGTGGGCCTCTGGGGAGTGAACCAGCTAATGGGAGAGCTATGTGTGTGTGTATCTCTTTAAATGGAATAAATAATTCATTTATCTAAACAGAGGAGATAGTAATAGATAATTTTCATGCTCTCTAAAGATAAAAAATGTGAAAAAAAATTTGTTGCCATAAATATGAATAAGTAATATTTTATTTGTTATGATAGGCAGAGTTATTTTGAAGCCTGATATTAAGGTGAATGGAATCATTCTAAATAATTTACATTAACTATCAGTTGCTTTATGGTCCGGCTACTATGACTGAAATGAAATGTTTCAGTGTCCTAGTGATGGCTTGTGGCTATCTTTTTGTTTTCAGGTCATGTGGATCCGAAGGTGCCAGAAGCTTAAGTGTGCTTCTCTGTAGGGCTGTAGGCCTGTTGTTCTATAGGGGCCCTGTGAATGTTGACTGATGCTGGTCATTGTATGCAGCCTTCAGCTGCTCACATAAGGGGCCCATTCATTCCCTAAGCCAAGTTAGACTATGCCTTTTGGTCATGTTGCCTTCCAACTTTTGAAATCCCTGGCACATCTCACCAGTTGAGAAGCTTCATTGTTTGAGAATATAAGAATAATGTGAACGAATATAACAGAGGCACTGTGGACAGAATCTCAAAATATTTAAAGGAAAATGCACATATTTTTCAGTAATAAATATCTTCAAGTTAACTTGACAATCTCATGTGAGATGCTTGTAAAGACTTTAAATCTGTCCAATTCTGATTTCAGTTGGGAAAATTTCCTAGAGGCTGAAAGACAATATATTTAAATCCTCTCAAGTTGTACTGTATATTGTTTGTTAGAGATCCATGATTGAAAATATAAATATTTGCAGGAATAAGGTGTCATCCAGTTTAGAGTCAGGGGACCCAGAGAACCTGTGAAAAAGAAAATATTGTCCATTCAAAAACTGTTGACCCTCTTTGTTGCTGTATAAATTCTGCTAAGATACAGGGGCTTTTCATTCATTAAATAAATCAGATGCTAGTTTTATATTTGCAGAACTAGCTACTTTTCTAGCCCTCCCCTTCTTTGAAGTGTTACACTTTAAATGATTTGCTGTTCTTTCAAGCAAGGTGATATCTTTGAGTTTTCTAATAGAAAGAGTCTTCCTGGTGCCTTCCAGGGATTCCTCCAAGACTCACCAGCAGAGGAACACACGCTTCAAAGATGAAATATGAGAAGATCATTCAGTATGTGTGAATTAGGAAAAAGTGCGCTGAAGCAATGATAATTGCTTTAGTTTGTTGTTTTGTTTTTTAAAGATTATTTTTTATTGGAAAGTCAGATATACGGAGAGGAAGATCTGACTGATGAGTCACTCACCAAGCGATCACAACGGCCAGAGCTGAGCTGATCCAAAGCCAAGAGCCTGGAGCCTACTCTGGGTCTCCCATGCAGGTGCAGGGTCCCAGGAATTTGGGCCATCCTCAACTGCTTTCCCAGGCCACAGGCAGGGAGCTGAATGGGAAGTGGGGCCTCTGGGATTAGAACCGGTGCCTATATGGGATCCTGGCGGTTGTAAGGTCAGGATTTAGCTGCTAGGCTACCATGCTGGGCCCAATAATTGCTTTAGTTTGGGAATGTTTTTATAAGGGTGAACAGGTTTTACTGTGTCCTACATTTATAGTGTTACACTGGTGGCATTTGGGGTATGATTTACTTTCTTTAACTCTTTTTTTTTTCATCTCCATCAAAGAGTAACAGAGAAAGAGATCTTCCTTCTGCTGGTTCATTCCCCAGACAGCCACAAAGCAGGCTGGACCAGGCTGAAGTCAGCGATGTGCAATCCAGCTGGGGCACTGTGATATGGTACACACGTTTCCCAAATGCGTCTTGGCCTGTGGCATCCTGGTGTCCAGTCCAGCTTATTTTTTTGTATCCTAAAATCATTCATGGTCCGGCACAGCAGCTCAACTGGCTAATCCTCCAAGTACTGGCATCCCATATGAGTGCTGGTTCCTGTCCAAGCTGCTCCATTTCCCATACAGCTCCCTGCTTGTGGCCTGGGAAAGCAGTGGATCATGCCCCAGGTCCTTGGGACCCTGCGCCCGTCGGAAGGCCTGGGGGAAGCTCCTGGCTCCCAGCTTTGAAATAGCTCAGTTCCGGCTGTTGCGGCCATGTGAGGACTGCACCAGCAGATGAAAGGGCTTTCACTTTGTCTCTTGTCTCTGTGGCTCTGCCTTTCCAGTGAAAATGAGTCTTTTTTAAAGATCATTCATTCATTAAAAATACAAAGAAGGAAGGGAGAAGTTCCGCTAACTTCCAGTCTACCGAGTGGTTATGTTAACTTGTGATGTAAGTCACTGTGAATGTTTTTCTGCGCATATGTACCTATGGAAGCATAGGGAAAAGGCAATACCTTGATGTTAACTTTTGAGAAACTGTGGGGCTAAATACTAAAAAGGAATCATCAAATATCAAAGTAATAGAGTGGCAGAGTTGGGGTGCATCTCCAGCCTTCCAACTCTAGGTCACTTTTTTCTTGCTGTTAATCCTTTGTGAAATTGAATTCCTTGTTTCCCAGTTCATTCAGCCATAATTTATTAAGGGCCACGCCTGCAGCAGGCACAGTGCATTAGCACCAAACTAGTCACACACACATCATCATCTCTGATGTCAGCGATACTTGTCTTTCCCTGTTCTCCCAAGGTAGACACAAACAAACCTAATCATGAGACACTGTGTGTATTTTTTCTACCATGACATCAGATGGATCACTGCAGAAGCAGTCTGTGGCACAGAGCTTCATGGGAGCAGTGTATGTCAGGGAGCAGCAGAAAGTAAAACTGGACAGTGGTGGGGAGTGTTGATAATGCAGAGCCCATAACAGCGTGATGGGAGGGTGGCTGCACAAGTAGAATGACCCTCACCCTACCATGCAGCCATCTGTGCTCCCCATGAGTCACCAAGAGGTAACCACGACAGACAAAGATTGGGAGACCTCAGCACTCTGAGAAACTGGGAAACAGTCATGAGACTGAGCAAGGAGATCCAGGTGGTGCCACGCAGTGTCTCCCAACTCCACACAGCACACATAGGACTGGTACCGGCAGTCCTTTTCGTCTTGTCCTTCTGCTGATGCATAGTGGCTTCTTTTGCTTTGTATTTCTCTGTAACCAGTAGCCATGCTTGCTGTTCCCTGGTTGTACTACTTCTTGTTTTATATGTACAGTGCAGTTCCCACTGGCAAACTTTTATTGCATGGAGACTTCCCAAAGAAGGAAAGCTGGGCCCTGCCCTCTAACTAAATAATATATCAGAGTCTGTGTGGAGCTCTAAAGAAATTATACTTTCCCCTGCCCAAAAAAGTAGGAATCCATCCATTGCTGATGGTTCTCTCCCCTCTATGGGAAACCACTGAATTAAGAAGGTAGGGCTTTGCTGGAACAGAAGTGATACTGTCAAAAGAACCGGAGCGGGTGTTTTGCTACCTTTCTGGATAACCAGAACGAACCCAGGTACCACTGTTCTGGTAAAAGCAAGAACATTTATATTTACCCCGTGACACCTGAATGAAAGGATAGCCATTGGTAACCCCTTTAATCCAATTCCACGTCATTTTACTCTTCCTGTCTCTGATTGGTTACTGGGATCCTCCACTGCCCAGTGTTGCTACATTTTATCCACATCTTAAGTACAATCAATTGCTACTCAAGTCATGAGCAGTAAGTATATCCTTTGGGGAATAGTTTTGGTCTGGTGATTGC